CCTTAAGGCTGTTCTAAGATAAAGGTTCCGCAAGCAAAAGGAAAATTGTGCAGTTTTAAACTACAGCTACAAAGATGCTCAGGGATTGTAAAGAAAGAGGGTGGTAAAGAAAGCCTTGGAAAAGGGATTGTAAAGAAAGAAGGTAGTAAAGAAAGCCTTGGGAAAGGAATTGGGGAAAAAATTGATATCCACTTTGGATAAGAAAGGATTTGAAAAGTAAGAATTGTCTTTAAAGAAGACAAAACTCAGAAAGTTTAAGTATGTAGCAAATGGTATGAGTATGTCTTAAAATTGGAGCTTACAAGTACAGCTGGTATAAAATTGAGTTAACTGTGATACACGAAGTCAGGACTGGTGAAAAAAAAAAAAAAAAAAAAAAAAAGGGGCAAATGCCACGCCGACCCCAGTAGAGTCTGCTTAGCATGGGAAACCATCTATCAGACCATGATAGGGGCTTCGAGACCTATCTCTGAGTTTTGGGACTTCACCGAAGTCTACCTCAGAGAATGGGGCTTTACAGAAACCTATCTCCAAGTTTTGGGACTTCACCGAAGTCTACCTCGGAGAATAGGGCTTCTAAGAGGCCTACTCCTGGGAAAAGGCTGGAAAAACCCCTGGGAAAAGATGTGTTTCTGCCTTTCTTCACTGCATAAGAGTGCCTATTAATCTTTTACTGCTTCTACTGCTCTTTGTACTTGCTCATTGTCAACGTTCTCTTATTCAAAGCTCTTTCTTAAGAGTGTTGACGACCCCAATATCTGATGAGTGTCTTAAAAATATGACTAACTCACCAGAGTTAAGTGCTACCCTGAAACACCTCTTATGGAGGCTAGGAGATAAGTTATAAGTAAATATAAAAGTATTGGGGGTTTCACAAAGTCACTTCAGCAGAAGGAATTATTTGTAAGGGATTTACAAGAAGCTGTAGGCTCAGCTAGAACAGAAAGAATGTATGGCAATTGCTGAGATAATTACTTAGGAGAAAGAATGTCCTGCTATTTACTAAGAGAATTGCTAGACCTAGAGAATTGCTAGATCCAGGTCTCCTTGAGGTTTACTATTAAAGAAGAAACAGGAAAGATCTATTTGGGAAAGTTAAGGCCTCTATAAAGATAGGTAATGGTTAATTGGTGACAAACATCGAAACCCAAACCCATTGTATTCCTTAGAGATAAGCCGGAGACAAATGCCTATCAGGTGCCCAGCTGGTGACCACCCAAGAAAGAAGCCCTGCAGCAAGATTGTGTAACCTTTTGCCCTTCCTCATGGAACTTTTGCTATAAAAGTTTGTTATCCTCTGCATTAAATCGCACTCAGCATCCACTCCTAATGTGTGTGAGTTGTCTGTTTGCCATCTCCCCACCTATTCCAGGTTCCTCCCTTAGGTGTCCTCCGTCGTCCCGACAGAACCCAGTCCGCGGCATAACAGATATCTTCTCTTCCTTCCATATTCCTAACCAATCTAGTCAGCAAAGATGCTACTCTTCCTGTCATATCTGCCCACCCATTGCCCACATCTGTCAAGCCCACCCTAACTCTTGAGTCACCATCACTATTCACCCAAACAAATATAACCACTTGCTTTGGTGGCTGACAGGTGTCATGTCTACTTTTGCTGACCTGGTACCTAGGACATCAACCAGTGAGTAGATGGCTGGGTCTAAAGCTGCCATCAGGGACTGGGGATGTGGTTTAGTGGTAGAGTGCTTGCCTGGCACACATGAAGCCCTGGGTTGGATTCCTCAGTATCACATAAACAGAAAAGGCCAGAAGTGGTACTGTGACTCAAATGGTAGAGTGTTAGCATTGAGCAAAAGAAGCTCAGGGTCAGTGCTCCTGAGTTCAAGCCCCAGAGTTCAAGCCCCAGGACTGGCAAAAATAAACAAAGCTGCCATCACTTTTATACACAAAACTAAATGGCCTGGGCTGGGAAGGTGGCTCAGTGGTAGAGTCCTTGCCTTGCATGCATGAGGCCCTGGGTTCGATTCCTCAGCACCACATAAGCAAAAAGAAAAAAGCCGGAAGTGGCACTGTGGCTCAAGTGGTACAGCGATAGCCTTGAGCTGAAGAGCTGAGGGACAGTGCCAAGGCCCAGAGTTCAGGCCCCATAACCGGACCAAAAAAAAAAAAACTAAATGGCCTTGCACTTTGCATGGATGATGGTGGCTTAATCAAACTTTCTCTAGCAACAGCTAGAGAAAGTGTCAGGAAAGACTATTAGGGCTGGGAAGGTGACTCAGTGGTAGAGTACTTTGCTTCACATGCATGATGCCCTGGGTTAGATTCCTCAGCACCACATAAGCAGAAAAAGCCAGAAGTGGTGCTGTGGCTCAAGTGGTAGAGTGCTGGCCTTGAGCTGAAGAGCTGAAGGATAGCACCCAGGCCCAGAGATCAGGCCCCATGACCGACCCAAAAAAAAAAAAAAAGAAAGAAAGAAAAAGAAAAGGACTGGGAAGGTGGCTCAGTGGTAGAGTACTTACCTTGCATGCATGAGGCCCTCAGTACGATTCCTCAGCATCACAGAAGCAGAAAAAGCCAGAAGTGGGGCTGAGGCTCAGTTGTAGAGCGCTAGTCTACAGCTGAAGAGCTGAGGGTGCCCAGGCCCAGAGTTCAGGCCCCACAACCGACCAAAAAAAAAAAAAAAAAAAAGAAAGAAAGAAAAGCTAATAGCCTCCAAGTACAGTAGCTTAAGGAGTTGAGGATATTAAAAACTGTATCAATTATCAATTAATAAAACAAAGCAAATGTGATTTTCTTGGCTATTGATGAGAAAACATGTTACCAACTTCACTTGGTGTGGATTCAAGGAGTCAATGCCAAGCTCACAAGCACAAGAAAATTAACTTGTATGAATACTCTGTGTGCAACCCCATGACAAATAAAAATATTTTCAAAAGTGAACAAACACTAACTTAGTACAAACTGGAGTTTAAACTGCTATCACCTCCCTGATGACAGTAAAAATACATGGGGAACCAAAGAAAGAATTACCTGGACAAATATAGAGAGGACAAAAAGGGAAACTGCTAAAGCCTGTCTATTTACCCTTTCACCCCACAAGCAGGCTTGCACATAGCATGTGTAACTGGGGAAGCAGCATCAACAGGAAACTTCATCAGCTCTTGCAGGTGCAACTACCACCATCTGTTGAATTTTTATCACAAATATTAGAAGCTGAATGTCTTGACTTTGGCCACAGAGCAGTCAAGACAGTTTGTGAAGGTTTATTATGACCTTTTAACTACAAAGCCAAAACAAGTTTTTCTGAAGAATTTCCATCAACTGTCACTATTATCAAAGATGGAATAGCTTTGAAAATCTATTTTGCTACAGACCTGATTTCTTAATAAAGTGGACCCGAGTTTATAAGACACAGCAGCGCTTGCACAAGGAATTTATACTTAAGTATCATCATTTTAAGCTTCTCTATATAATTCTCAATCTGCCAAACCTGAGAATTCCATTACTACACAAATTTGCAGCAGATATGAGTTAAAAGTCTTTTTCAAACCTGAAACAAAGTACAAATAGAATTTACATATTTCTAAATTCATTCACCTGTGCAACTGAAGCGCTCACATATCAGAGCACCAAGAGAAGTTATTAATCTGCAATGCAGTAACATGCTAAGAGACAAATACCAAAAACCACAGATACCTTCCAAGCAATGAATATACTCAATGAAGACACTTCGCCTGGGACAAGATCAATATTTAGGAATATTTGTCAGTGGGAGACATTTTCAAAGATGAAACATGTAAAATCTCCTGTAGACTAACATTATGAGATGAAGACTTGTAAGTGGCTTTGATGGCACGAAAAACTATGAATTCCAATTAAGCAAAATGTTATCCACTTCCTCCCACAAAAGAGAACTGCTTCTCATTGTAGACTATATTGTAGATGGTATTACAGTCATTACTATTATGTTTTGAATTCTCAATGAATATTTGTCTTTCCTGTTATTATGTAAGTACTTATTATTAGTCCACAAAATGTAAATAAACTATTTACCTTTGGCTCCTTTATAGAAAAGTTCCAGTCCCTAGTTTAGTCAACTAAACTCATGTTTAAAGATGTTTTGCTATCTTTTAACTTCCTTGGTTGTCATTTTATATTTATTCCTGATAAATTTTACCTTACCTGAGGCTGGGAAGGTGGCTCAGAGGTAAAGTGCTTGCCTCACATGCTTGAGGCCCTTGGTTTGATTCCTCAGCACCATATAAACAGAAAAAGTCAGAAGTGGCACTAAGGCTTAAGTGGTAGAGCGTTAGCCTTAAGCTGAAGAGCTGAGGGACACTGTCCACCCAAACCCAGAGTTCAAGCTCCACGACCGACCAAAAAAATAAATAAAATAAATAATCTTATCAATCTTATCACTTAAATTACAACCTAAAATTCTAATCCTAAAAGTGAGCTATTTCCCAATGTGACCTCTGTTCTTTATTCAAATCTTCAATAAAAAAAAATGTCCTTAATAGGACAGGTGTCAAGTATGACACACTTATAGAGACATCCTCTCTTGTGTATGGGAATTCAAATGTTTTCGTTTTAGGCTTCTGATATTTGGGGAAGTTTTGTTTTATCCTTTTGTTGCCTGGACTGGCCCCAAACTCTCCCAAACTCAAGGAGGATAAGTTCTATAATTCTTTCATGCAAATCACTGAACCTAATACAGTCTTGGAGACTTCTCCAATGTTACAATTCTCAAGTTTTCACTAATACAAGAGCAATGTTTCTCAAAGTAAGGGTATTTTAGTGTAAAGCAGATGATTAGCCAGGCACAGTGACTTAGGCCTATAACTCTAGCTACCTAAGAGGCTGCAATCTGGATGCTTATGATTTGAAGCCAGCTGTTGCAGAAAAGTCTCTAAGACTCCATCACCCAAAATAACTAGCAAAAAAAAAGGGGGAAGGCTAGAGGCATGGCTCAGATGGTAAGCACTAGTAGAGCAAGGAATCTGCGAGAAACCAGTTTTCCATTTCTTGTTGACCCCCACCTGTAGTTGTGAATCTTTAGCCTTAGCTGCATCAGCAGAATGCTGTCCACCTAGTCCGGGCCATCCTTAATGTCCAGCAGCCAAAGAATTTCCCTGTGATCTTTCTAAAACAAAAGGAGACATGACAAAGTAAACAAAGGACCTCCACTCAACCTGTCGTATCATTTTTAAATGACTCCATGTTCTGGAACACATATATACGAGATATATATACTTCTCATATCTATGTGTACATCTGAGGGAAGCTAGGAGGAGGGCAGAGAATCAGAGGCAAACGGGAAAACATACAATAGAGGGGACCATCAGCTCCACTGGACATTGATAAAAAAGAACTAAGCAACTCAAGGGCAGCAATGAGAGGGAGGGAATGAGAGGGAAAGAGGGAACAGCTTACACTAAGCAAAAGAAATGTAAATATCACCCAATGTGGAAGAAATAGTTGTATCAAAGCTCACAGAATTCACAAACATTATAGACCATGATAATGACAATTTGCCTTGTGAAGGTTAAAATGTGTTTATGACTTTAAGTATCACTATCTCACAATATGGTGAAATTTATATAATCAATCTCAAAAAAATTATTTAAAAAAAAAGAATATCTCCGTCCCTAATGATCTTGATGTAGCCTCTATATCAGCTTGTTTGCAAAAATGCTACCTACATGTGGTTTTTGCCTTTATAAGCCCTGCCCCATTGGAGGTCACTGCTGCTCTTAGTTCTGAGACACCACAGCCCAGGACAAGACCATTGCTGGCCAGCTAATGAAGACTCCTTTGGGACCATGCCTCCAAGGATTTCTCCACTCTGAGGTTATTTCAAAGCCAAGCAAGCACAAGGCCCTGAATTCAAATCTTAGTACCAGCCCCAAAAAAGGGAAAAAAACAAAAATCAGGTGATTAGATTCTATACCAAATGTGTTAATTCAACAACTCTAAAGGCCAGCCCAAGTTGTGTGTATTTTTAATACTTTTTTGGGGGGGGTGTAGGGGGGCAGTCCTTGGGCTTGAACTCAGGGCCTGGGCACTGTCCCTGAGCTTCTTCTGCTCAAGGCTACTGCTCTACAATTTGAGCCACAGCCACTTCCGGCTTTTTCTGTGTATGTGGTACTGTAGGAATCAAACCCAGAGCTTCACCACTGAGCCACATTCCCAGACATAATACTGTTCTTTCAGAACCACTGGTGGTCCTGAAAGCTTCTAGAAGAACATTTCTTACTCAATGAATCTTTACCACCTAGCAGAAAAGCCCCTTGAGAAAACCCTTTACCCTTTAAATTTGATAGGTAGGATAGAACTTATGGTATTTTAGTACTTTAAACAGGGAATATATGAATATATGTCTTGTGTATCAACTCACTTCTTCAAGAGAATGTGGAAACAAGTACTAGAAACCAGTGGGAAAAAGTTTAAGCAAGAGATACATACAGTTTTGGCATCTATTGTCAATTGTTTCTATCTTCTTTCAACCAATAACAACAAAATTGTGTTTTATAAACTGTAGCATCTTCTGGGCGCCAATGGCTCACGCCTGTAATTCAGTTATTCAGGAGGTTGAGATCTGAGGATCGTGGTTCAAAGTCAGCCCAGGCAGGAAAGGCTATGAGACTCTTATCTCCAAAGGTCAAAATGGCAAACTCTTAGGACAGTTGGCAATCCAACAATTCTTCATCAATCACAACTCAACTATAAGCTGCCAAAAATGAATTAAGACATAGCTGTAAATTAAGTTTCCTCTGCTACCTGTCTTTAAGTCAATACCTTACAAGATGATTTGTGTTACTTTTTCCAAACAGGACCTACACAAAATAGTTTCCAAACTTTCTAATCACATTGGAATCACAGCTTTCTTCAGCTTCAAGTCTGAGGCTGACATGTGAAACCATATGAAGCCCTTACTTTTGACTACTGTAACATCAAAGAGTCCGTCATATCTTAAATTTTTGCCATTCACGATACTGTACTTAACAGAAGTCACAATTTTTCTCAACAGCAAAGAAGATGCATTCTCAGAGACAACCTGTCTCCAATCTTTCCTTTCTCCTAATTTCTACTCATGAGACAAGCCTGTATCGCCAAGTTCACTGCATCTCTAAAGGAACTGCTATTATCTGTAGTCTGCAATTCCTAAATTACATATAATGCTAAAATCAATATGAACCACTCCACTTTAGACTGCAGAACACCAGAGTCATCTGCCTGATGCTCACATCTCAACAGTTAATCACCAGTTTAAGCACCCTGTTTCTCCTGCTCTGTGATTTATGAGCTCACTACAACTATACAATTTAGGTGTTTCTGTTTATTTGTTTTTCTGGAGGTCAGTCGTGGGGCCTGAACTTAGGGCCTGGGCGCTGTCCCTCAGCTCTTCAGCTCAAGGATAGCACTCTACCATTTGAGCCACAGCGCCACTTCTGGTTTTTTCTGCTTATGTGGTGCTGAGGAATCAACCCATGGCCTCATGCAAGAAAGGCAAGCACTCTACGGTTAAGTGACCTTCCCAGCCCTTAGGTACTGTTTTGCATCTTGCTATTACACATTTTTAACATGATTCAAGGAACTCCTCACATTTTTTGTGTGGGTATATCTTTTTTTTTTTTTTTTTGTCATTGGTCATGGGGCTTGAACTCTGGGCTTGGGCGCTGTCCCTAAGCTCTTCAGCTCAAGGCTAGCGCTCTACCACTTGAGCTACAGAGCCACTTCTGGTTTTCTGGTGGTTTATTGGAGATAAGAGTTTCACAGGGGCTGGGAAGGTGGCTCAGTGGTAGAGTGCTTGCCCTGCATGCCTGAGGCCCTGGGTTCGATTCCTCAGCACCACATAAGAAAAAAAGCCGGAAGTGGCGCTGTGGCTCAAGTGGTAGAGCGCTAGCCTTGAGCTGAAGAATAGCACCCAGGCCCAGAGTTCAGGCCCCACGACCGGACCAAAAAAAAAAAAAGTTTCACAGACTTTCTTGCCTGGGCTGGCTTTGAACCGCAATCCTCAGATCTCAGCCTCCTGAGTAGCTAGGATTACAGGTGTGAGCCACCGGCGCCCAGCTTGTGGGGGTACATCCTTCTTAAAAATGACACAATCTCTCACAACCATGTGAATTTTATGTGTGTGTTATGTGCCAGTCCTGGGGCTTGAACTCAGGACCTTGGCACTGTTCCTGAGCTTTTGTGTTCAAGGCTAGTACTCTACCACTTAAACTACAGCTTCAACCTTTTTGGTGCTTAATTGGAGATAAAGAGTCTCGCAGATTTTCCTGCCCAGACTGGCTTCAAATTATAATCCTCAGATCTCAGTTCCCTGAATAGGGACTGGACTTGAAGGTACTCTGTGTCTTGTTTTTGGGGGAAGAGAAAACAAGGGGAACACATTTTAAGTTCTGTTAACACAGTTCAACTTGAAAAATGCTTGTGTAAATTTGCAGTTTGTCAGTTTGGAAAATATATTTTTTTGTTTTGGAATATATTGTATTTAAAGATTCTTGGGCTGGGGGTGTGGCTCAAGTGATAGAGCACTTGCTTAGCAAGCAAGGGAGCAATAACACCAGATAAGAAAGTAAAATTTAAGCCAGGCACCGGTGGCTCACACCTGTCATCCTAGCTACTCAGGAGGCTAAGTACTGAGGCTCACAGCTCAAAACCAGTCCCAGGCAAGAAAGTCCATGAGACTATAATCTCCAATTAACTACCAAAAAGCTGGAAATGGAGTTGTGGCTCAAAGTGGTAAAGTGCTAGCCTCGTGCACAAAAGCTCTGGGACATCACCCATGGCCTGAGTTCAAGACCCAAGACTGGTGCAAATAAATAAATAAAATGTAAAATATGAGCCAGGAGTGGTGGCTCACACCTGTAATCCTGGCTAGTCAGGAGGCTGAAATCTGAGGATCCCGGTTCAAAGCCAGCCTGGGCAAGAAACTCTGTGAGACTCTTATCTCCAATAAACTACTCAGAAAACCAAAGTGGCACTGTGGCTCAAGTGGTAGAGCGCTAGCCTTGAGCTGAAGAGCTGAGGGACAGTGCCCAGACCCAGAGTTCAAGCCCCATGACTGACAAAAAAAAAAAAAGTAAAATATAAAAACATAAGGAGAATAAGGGAACAGATGCCACTGTAAAAAAGGAAATGTACTAATTACCTGATGTATGTAAATGTAACCTGTTTACATATAACCTCTATAGTAACAATAATTTTTTTAAAAAAACAGATCTGTGGTTTGGGTAAATGACATTTGTAGTGTAACAAATATGTGTAATCTTAACAAGGAGCAACTCTGCCTCTTTGCTGGTCTCCCTTGTAATGATCTAATGATAGCTCTAGAATCCTCATGCCATAGGAAAACAGTTCACACTCATACACACAAGACTGCTTACAATTTCAGAGGTTCAAAGATGGAGAATGTGCCTTCTCAGAGCAACTGAGGGATTTGGTTTTACTGTTGTTGAGAGAGGTGTTAGTACTTGGGATTGTGCTCAGAGTCCTATGTATGATAGGCAAATGTTTTCCCACTGAGCTACATTCAATACACACACACACACACACACACACACACACACACACACACACAGATTGATTTGAGACAGTCTAGCTAAGTTTCTCAGGTTGGTCTTAAACTCGTTCCTCCCACTCACCTGGTGCTGGGGTTTGGCTTCAGAGCATTGTTCATGCAGGAAAAAGGCTTTTCCAGTGAACTACATCTCCCACCAGACTGACAGGTAGCTCGAATGCAGACATGTAACATCATATCCAGTTATAACAATTGTTTGATAAGTTATATTCCAGGAGGGGGGATAGAGCCAAATGAACTTTATTAACTATTCACTAAAGGAGAAACCTAAAAGCTACCCTAAGAGTGCCCTGGCCTCTTGAGCACTACCTTCAAAATAATCCCTTCTTTCTATTCTCCACTGTATCCTTAATTAAGGCCTTCACTTGTTTGTACAACATAATTACATAATCAGGAGCCCACACTGTTAAGGCAGACCTCTGAACTTGCTGATTTTTTTTTTTTTTGCCTTATTAGCTAGGCTATGGCAATTTCCCCTCCTCAAGTGGATTACTATGACACCATCTCTCCTGAGTCTTGCAGCTCTAGTCCAACCATCCTCCTGCTCTATACTCCTGCTCCTACCATTCTCAGACACAAAGTTCAAACCAAGTGTAAACTGCTTTGATCCTGCCTAACATCAACCTTATCTCCTCCTCTACCAAACCCAAAACGTTTAGATCCACAGCACCCAGCCTTGCACACCCAGTGCTCTGCACACGATCCATGCCCTTTCTCACTTCCCACTTAACTAATCCCTACAAAAGAGTCATCACATCTGGTCCACAGCCAGTTTCTGTATGGTTCCTGGGCTAAGAATGTTTCTACATTTTTAAGGGATTTTTGAGGGAGAGGGAAAACAAGAGAAAATGCTATAGGCCTCATGCAGCCTGCAAAGCATTTACAGTCCGAGGCCTTCAACAAAAGAAGCCTGCAGAACCCTGAGCTTGTTATCACTGGGGACTTACCCTGCAGGTCACCAGAGCACACTGAGGAGACATGTCATATACCCTATGACTTGCCATTGAGCTTTGCTAGTCTCACCCTTGTGTCTATATCGCCAGGACTTACACTGTACCAAACACAAAACTACATTTTGTAAATGCTGCATGAATGAACTAGATTGTGAAGAAACTGATCAAACAAATAGGTGGAGAGGATGAAACCTTTAGTAGTAAAATCTAGCTGATTAAAGGCACAAATGATACATCTGTACACGATTTGGACATATTTATATTCAATTTGTTACAAAGTAACTACAAGTGCTACTCTACTTCAAAGGCAGAGATCATAGCTAGTACCTTTTATAGATAAGGCCACTTTCTATGAGAAGCACAGAAACTAAGTAACTTGCCAAACACATCACTCAAGCAGAATGCCAGAAGTGAAACTCAAGTCTTCTTTTCCTTAGATAAAATGCTTATTCTGTAAAACACGCCTGCTTCTTTACACAAACTACGGCACCCAGACACCTACAATTACTTATGTCTGAGACTTTAGGGGAGATGTAAAACTTATTTTCAAACATTACTTAATTTCAATCATTTTCAAGTTAACATTACTTCTTGGGGAGAAAATAACATGGACACTCAAAATACCATTAGGCTAAAAAGACCTTGAATTAACTAGAAGTAATCATTCACTCTCTTCCTTTGTTTTGTCTTTTTTCCATAAAACAACACAAAATTAAACAGCTTAATTAACAAATGCCACTGCAAGGAAGGCAGCTGCTGGCACAGCATGACCCTCCTAAGTCAGCTCAGCTAAAACGTACTGCCAGTTAAGGGACTGAAGCATTTAAGTGGGTAGCAGAGTCCAAGAGCTGATGGTGCACATTAACACCTCAGCTTTGGCCAGGAAATAACCAAAGTGTTTCCACAGACAGAGAAGAAATAAAGGAAATTCTATTAACTTAAAAAAAAAAAAAAAAAAAAAACTATTACTGCCAGGCCCTGGTGGCTCATGCTCAGGAGGCTGAGATCCGAGGATCCTGGTT